GAGTACTACTCAACCATAAAGAATGAGAAACTAGAGACATTTATAGCTAAATGGATGCATATTGAGGCCATCCTCTGAAGTGAAATAAATAGGACACACGTGTAAATACCGAATAGTTTCTCTAGTGTGAGAAACTGGAAGTATAAATAAAGATTAAAATGATTAAAACGAATAATTGATCATTTGAAATAGGAAGAAAAGGTCCAAAGGTGTAGGTGAAGTGGGAGGGGAAGGGGAAAGGAAAGAAGGGAAAAGAAAAATTATGAGAAAAGAAAAAAATGGAAATGAAGTCTGTGTAAATAGGGAAGGGTGGAGGGGTGAAGGGTGCACAGGTAATGGGGAAAAAATAACCAAGATACATCATGTACAGGTACAGGCACCCAATGATAAATGTAAATGAATTGTATACCTAAAATGTACCAATAAAAGAATTTAAGCAAAAAAAGAAAAACTATTTATAGAATGTCATTTTTATTTAGTTATGATATCTGTATTGCCTGCTCTTGCACTAGGGGTATAACCACAACCACATCCGCACTTCAATCCCATTTTTGCCTCATGATCCTAGTAATTAATTCCAGCCCCTTATTCATAAGGTAAATTTGGGCCTTTTAGTTTTTTTTCTTCAGGCAAACAGGGCACTTTGCTCAACTCTGCCATCAAGGCCACTAAGTGCTTTCTGTTCTCATTGCCTTTCCCTCACTACAGAGATTCCTTCAATTCTTCAGCATTGCCCCTTGATGTGGGAGCTTCTGTCCCCTCATTTTATAGTGAGAGGCCACATGTCCAGTGGTTAATGTTTGAGCTTTTGAGTAGATGGATTCTGGGCTGAAACCTGGGTCTGCTTGCTACCTACAGATTCTTCTTTCCCCTCTCCTTTCCCTTCCTCCTTCCCTCTTTATCCTTCCCTCTCTCCCTCCTTCCTTTTTTCTTTTGGCCTTGAACAAACCCCAGTGTCTTTAAGAAATTGCTATCTTTAGTACTAAATACAGGGCTGTTATTATCAAATGTGTACCTTCAAAAATACTTATTTAAAGGGCTTAGCACAGTGACTGTCATACCTTGGGAGTTGCACATCCCAGTTACTTTTAATTCTGCAAACCTTTGTAAGAGTCTCTGATGTTCCAGTGTAGGGAGGAGCACATCACTTCAGCAATTTGTGCTTCTCTGAATCTCTTTTTCTTTTTGGGAACCTCTTAAAATGCATGCCTTTTCATTTATGTGTGTATATATCCTCAACTCAATATGCAAAAAATATAACATCGTTCAACTATTACCAATATTTATTTTGCCAAATCTGGATTTGGCACTTGCTTGTCTATCTTTTTAACTAATAGCTTAGTATAAGTTTAGGCTTTTTTATTTGTTCTTTTTTTTTTCTGGTACCGGGGATCCAACTCAGGACCTTGCTCTTGCGAGGCAGGAGCAGCATCACTTAGCTGAATCCCCAGGCCTGTTTGCTCTTTTTGATATCATATAAATCACATCTTATTATACACTAGTCAGCATAATTTTTTGTTTTTTTGGTACTGGAGTTTGAACTCGGGACCTTGTGTTTTCCAGACAGGCGGCGGAACCACTGAGCTAAATTCCTGGCCCTAGTTAGCATAATTTACTGCCCATATTATTGTTTTCTGATGATGAGATGATGATGAATGGTATAAACAGGAAACCACAATATTTTTAGGATGAAGGCCAATATTACATTAAACTTGTATTCATTGAACGTACTCCTTAGCCCTTCTTATTTACCTTCATCTGGCATTATAGGAGCATGGTCCTGGTTGTGTATGTGTGTGTGTGTGTACACATAGGCATGCACCTCCTGTAAATGTGTACTTACATTTTGCATTTTTATGAAGACTACTGCTGAAAATTGCTGCATGGCAAGGGATTAACATTGCTAGGAATACCTAATAAGAGTAATTAGGAAAGGTGATTTAAATAAAAAAGTATTTGGGGATTTGTCTGTTAAAGGTTGCAGAAGTCTGTGGAGAACCTGAATTACAACTAAATAGGCTGTTTATAAATTAACCCGAGGTAGCCATTTTCTCCAAATCCCTCATGTGAAACTCCACCTAAAACTTATTAAATAACAAGGCAGTTAAACGTAATTTCTCCACTGTCATTGATTGGCTCATAGCAAGGCCCAGATGAGCAGAACCTGCAAGATCATGATGCTGTTATACTATAGAAATACTGCATGCTTCCTTGTGCACTGTCTTGGCTTCCTAAGGATTGGCTGCATGCGTAAGAATGTGCTCATCAGTCAGGCCTGTGGGGCTGCATCCCAGAAGATGACATGCAAAGCTTGACCAGAATATTATTCTTCAAACTTGCATGAAGGAAATAACATGTGCACACAAAGAGCCATACTACAAGTTTTATAAAGGACACAAATCATACAGGAGAGATGGTATTAGTGCTATGGAATTCTTAGGAAAAAAGACTTTTGAGCTGGAGGGTAAGGAGGAAACTTCATGGAGCATGAGGCATTGACGTATTCCTCTAAAGAAGGTCATGATTGGTTGCTACTTGGGAAAAAGGGGGTAAAGAAAGCAGCAGAGCAAAACTGAGAAAGGAGGGAAGCATAAGGTGGTAGAGGTTTTGAGAATGGGAAATGGCAAGTTTACCTCTCCACCTACTGGGGATTAGTGGAGGCACTGGATTTGGAGTGGGACTTCTGGGTGTGGGTTACTTATTACTGGAATTACCGTGTAAACTGGAACTTTGCTCAAAAAAGATACATGAGTAGACTTCTGATTAAGGGAGATTGTTAGAACTTTTT